TTGGGAACCGATTGTGCTTGTTGCAGTCAGAATTTGTACAGTTTCAGTGTCATGATAAGGCCACTCTCTAAAGCCTGTCTCAAAAAATTGTGTGTACTTATTGAATAACTTTTATAAAATTTGACTAGGAATTGGTTCATTAACTTCTGTATGCATGGACTCCACTCAGAATTACAGATGTTCATGGCTGGAACTCCTGCCCTTTGCATGATCCAGCTGCAGAAACCCAGAGGAGTATGCCTCAAATAATGTGAAAAGCAGGGGCCGCTCAGGATTAGAGAACATCTCATAAGGTAGAACAGCAAGAAGCTGTCCCTCAAAAGCAGCTCACAGACTGACGACAGAGCAGGGCAGAGAAGTGTAACTGCTGGGCCCCAGCAACGATACCAGCTACAACCCAGCATGGAGCTCCTCTTCTGATGCTCTCTGGGACCCAAGAAGCAAATCCAAAGTTAGTTCACACAGCCTGCAAGTTAGCATCAGTAACAGCCGTAGGTCTCACATTTAACAGGCTGATTTGGTACATTTCCCAGTCATATGATGATGAACAGACTCTCGTGTGTTCTGGTTTGATTACTCTCCCTAATAGTCAGGTTCTGTAGCTTGTCAACCAGTGTGATGGTACCCAAGAAAACATTACCATTGAAATCTACCTGATGACTTTATATCCATGCTCAGATGCCTAGAAGCTCAGAAAGTAACCAACGTCACTAGTAATAATCAGATATATAGAGATTAGAAATGCATGTGCAAACACGTTAGTGTCAATTGCATTAAAATGAATTTTTCTGTATGAAACTGGGCATTTTAATAATGAAATGGTGATCTTTTTTAAAGGTTAAAACCTCATTTAATTTTATGTCTTAAAGGGTTTATACTGAGTACAATATTGTATAACTGTATTAATTCAACTGTACACCTAGAAATTTATAGCCAATCTTGAAACAGGCGCATCTTAGCTCTGGAAATTGTTATTGAATATATCAATGCTGTTGTCATGAAATGCTTCTTCTAATTATATGGTTATTAAATAAATAATTAAAAAATTAAATAAAAGTTAAAAATATAAACTGAGACCAATGATCAAGGTTTTCATTTTTATGTCCCTCACCCCACAACGTTCATCTGCTCATGAACTACATTCAGACAACGAGCTGAATTTTCCTAGACTGAAAAATGAGAAGGCCGAGAAAGGTGTAAGGGAACGGGGGTATACACAAGACTGTTACCCTAGTTGGCCATGGAATTTAAGGAGGGAAGGTGGAACAGTGAACAGGTAGGTGAGTCACTGGAGGCCCCGCTGGAGATTAGGACTTTTCCAGTTGAGAGACAAATTGACTTGAATTTAGCAAAGCAGTCAAAGGCAAAATTACCTTAAGTTTCCTGAATTCGCTCTTTGTTTCTTGGTTTGTGATGATAAAGACATCACTCTGCAGGTCATATTCTGCTATCTTTGCGATAGTCATGAGGCCATTGATCTCCTTCCAGAGTACAACATCATAACCAGTATTTAAGTCGCCATGCGCATCAAAATGAAATGAGTTCTTTCCATCACTGAATGTCACGTTTTTCAACATGTCGAGTAGCTGTAAAAGATAAAATTGTGAATGAACACTGAACGTAAGAATTGGAGGTTTATCCTTTATCCCAATTATAATACTACCACTTAAAATGAGAAATTAAATGAGAAATTTCATTATTAACCAGTATTTAAGTCGCCATGCGCATCAAAATGAAATGAGTTCTTTCCATCACTGAATGTCACGTTTTTCAACATGTCGAGTAGCTGTAAAAGATAAAATTGTGAATGAACACTGAACGTAAGAATTGGAGGTTTATCCTTTATCCCAATTATAATACTACCACTTAAAATGAGAAATTAAATGAGAAATTTCATTATTAAATGAAAAAAAAAAAGCAGATTCTTTTTCCCTGTTTGGGGATACTTAACTATATAGAAACAATTTGAAAGAGTCTCACCTGGATTCTAGGTTCACTCTCTACCTGTTTTCCTATGTGACGTTGAAAAGACAGGTTAGTTTTTAGAGGTGATAGCATCTCTAGACTATGATATTAAAATCTGAGCATCTGCATGTGTTCATGTGACAGAATTTCAGAATGGGTCCTTTGGAGCAGGTGGGGATTCTGATATAGCTCCATCTCTCCTTACTGGTGCAATCTTGATAATCAAATTCCGTCCTAACTTCTTACCCCTGATGGTTCTCTTTTATTTAAAAAATATTTCTGGGGCTGGAGAGATGGCTCAGTGGTTAAGAGCACTGACTGCTCTTGCAGAAGACTTGGGTTCAGTGTCCAGTATCCAAATGGCAGCTAACAACCATCTGTAACCCCAGTTCCAGGGAATCTGATGTCCTCTTCTGACCTCTGTGGGCATTGCATGATATGGGTGAACATGTAGGAAATACACTCATACACATAAAATAAAGTAAAATATTGAAAAATATTTCTATTAATTCTTTGAAAATTTCAGAAAATGTATTTTGATTATACCCTCACCTCTCCCAACTCCTTCCAGATCCATCTCTACCTCCCTAACCACCCAACTTTGTGTTCTCCCTGCCCCCTAAATAGAGTTCAATATGTTTTGGCCAAAGATCTCATAACAATTGTGATAACATGCACAAGACCTGCTCAAGTTCAACCCAGACAAACATCCCAGCATGAAGGGGGTGGGGTGCAGAGGTGGGCAGGAAGTTCCACCCTTAACTGAGTGGCCATTGGCTGCTGGGGGAAGAAGAGTCGATTTTATCTCTGTGGTTCTTTAGTCTGTCTCAGTGATGAGGGCACAATAAAGACCTCTAATTTCTATTTCTAATTTAACTTATAAAAATGATTTCTTTTAATTCTAGAAGAAATAAATGTGATAAAAGATTACTTGACTTGCTACCCAATTTGTTAGTGAGACTTCTTATATAATAGAGCTAGGACAGGAAATGTTTTGCTGACAAACAAGGCAGCCAAGTTGAGCTTGTGCTGTAGAGAAAAAACCCTGGAGTGGGAGCTAGGAGAGTGCTGTCTGGCCCCATTGTCCACTTGATAAGGAAGGATGGCAGTCCCTTCTCAGTGCACTCATCACGACCCACTATTTGCCTAGGTCCATGTTCTCTGTGGCTTTGTTGGAGTGAAAATCTATGGAACAAGGCAGATATTATTCTGTCTGAATGGAATTGGTGTGCACTGTGTGTTTTCAGTTAATTTTCAGTGTTTTATTTTTTGTCAATAGAATAAAAGAAAATCAAGTTGTATTTTAAGCTAATATAATATATTAGCAATTGCAGTCAGGTCAATGACCAAATAGCCCCTTAGCAAAATCTCAAGGTGCATATTGATTTTATTACAGTTCCCCATACTTCTTTTAGTGACTCTAAATTAAATACTTCAAAGAAGAAGAATACACCAGAGCTAACATGGTAGAATTAACATTTGGTAGAGTGCTTGCTTAGCACCACATAAACTGGGCATGGTGGCAAAGTTGTCATCCTAGCCCTTGGGAGGTGAAGATAGGAGGATCAGGAGTCCAAAGCTATTCTTGGCTACATAGAATGTTCAAAGCCAGCCAGGACTGTGTGACGCCCTGTGTCAAAAAATAAATCTTAAAGCTGGAGGGATGGCTCAGCGGTTAAAAGCACTTACTGCTTTTGCAGGGGACCTGGGTTGGAATCCCAGCACCCACATGGAGTCTAGCAAGCATCTGTAACTCCAGTTCTAGGGGATCTGCCATCCTCTTCTGTCCTTACTGGGCACCACATGACAAGGGCGCATTTACATACCAGTAGGTATAGCACTCATACACATAAAATAAAAATAAAATAAATTTAAAAATTATTTTAAAAATTTAGCTGGGTGTGGTGGCACAGATCTTTAATCCCAGCACTGGGAGGCCGAGGCAGGCAGATCTCTCTGAGACTGATGTCAGCCTAGTCTACATATCGAGTTCTAGGCCCGCTGGGGTTACAGGGAGACCTTGTCTCAAAAAGACCCAAAAATAAAAGGAAAGCTTACTCTAGCATTGCCTGGAATTAAAACAAAACAAAACAGAAGAACAAAACCAAAGCAATATGTAAAGGCCTACCTTCAAGGCTCCCACTTGTACTGTGTACTCCTTTTAATTTTATTCCTTTCTTAAGCGGTATATGCTTGCAAGCCCCACTCTTTGAACTGCAATTCCCACCTGTTTTCTTCCCTCGTGACTTTAATTAGGTTTAACAGAGTAAAGATCTGACACAGGCATGTTCTGTAAATAATGACGGCATTGTATAATGTAAATAGCGTTGCCCAACTTATGCTTGTTCTTACACGAAAGAGGAGAGAGTCAAGTTAAACAGTACATTCATTACTCATGAAGTATAGTAGAATATTTACTTTGGATTAAGGTAAACTTTGAACATGGGCTCTCAACAATTAAGCTATTAAATGATTTTTCCCATCAGTTATTTTTTTTTCCAATGGAGACTAAACTTCATCAAGTCAATACTACAAGACTGAGATTAGAGACTGAGATTTACCTTCCGATTATAGAACTACCTCTATATAGTGATAGCCTGTTTTTAAGACCACAGTTCAGGAACATATAGCAATGAAGGGTCTCTAGTTAACCTGGTGTTTCATTTCCCTAACTGCCTAGATGCCTGCTCTGTCTGAGTGAGCTTGCTTGTCAGAAGAGGTATCGATGTGACTAAGAGAACAACAGAGCAAGTAGCCTCATATTTTTCTTCTTGTGCCCAAACCATGTCTTTTACTTTAGTGGTACAGCAGAAAACCCCAGCAAACCAAGACTGACAGTGTCATTGCCAGCCATGTAAGTAACCATGAGAAAATCTTTATTTTTGAATTCTCCTTCTCCATACTGCTATAAGACTTGGCAACTAGTAACACTTCCTCTTACCACTTCCTTAAGATAGAATATAAAACATGGGAGTTCTGCGGATATCCACAGATATTGTGAAGATTAGAAGTAATCCATGTCAGTTTGCAGAAGCACAGGCTTTAAATCAAGCAGTTACTATTATCCTCATCATGGCAGACCACTCTCATGTCTCACCTGACTTCCAGATTAATATGAAGCTGCCATGGCAAACTTCATGCCTCCCAGTTCCTCAAATCCAACACCCCCAATATAGGATGCTAGTATTTCCATCAAACTTTTATGTTTTCCTGTGTTTCCATTTAAAAATACATTATTAGTTGTCCAGATGTAGAATAATTTGTAACATCTTTGCTGAGCTGTCACTTAAAAAATTAAAAGAAATGATTTTATGTGTATGTGTGCTTTTCCTGCATATATGCATGCGCACCACAAGCATTGGACACCCTGGAACTGGAGTTACAGATGGTTGTGAGCCTTTGCCAAGTGAGTGTTGGGACTGAACCTGGGTCTCTGCAAGAACAGCAAGTGCTCTTAACCACAGAGAGCCATCTCTTCAGTCCCCAAGCTCTATCAATTTTTAGATCCAATCTATTCCAAATATTCTTCATCCATTTTCTTGAATATCCATTATCTGTCATTATCATATCTGTAGAGGAATTCCTACCTTGGGTTTGAATTACCAAATCTTCTTTTCTCCTTCCAATCTTTCATTACTCTAATTAATTTGTATTGCAGTTAAATGCTATTTCTACAGTAGAAAACAGGTCATCATTCTAAAAAAGCATTTAATTGGCTCTCTTTTTACTTTCTACACTCCAAACTTTCAACACAGCTTGCAGCCTTCCTATACCAGCAGTCTGAGCATCACCTGGGATATTATTACAGCTTCAGGTTTTTCAAGGACCCAAGGCAATTCAACTATACACAGATTTTGAGCTGCCCCACATGAATTCCTCCTTTTCTTTGTTTACAACTTCAATTTGAGACTCTAGTTCTGTGACATGTTCTGCTCTCTGAAGATGCTGGGCTTTCTCTCCCTTCTGGGACTTTGTTGGAGTATGCCCATGTTCTGCACTCTGTGTAGATGTCATACTCTTTAGAGAATGTTCTCTGAATTGCTGACACTGGACTATCTGCCTAAGTTCTGTGCTATGCTGCCATCTTGTGTTTGCATGAAATGCTGTAATTCATCCTCCTGCATTGTGTTCAGCTACAAAATCATGTGATTGCATGCTACACTGACTTCTCTAGGAAGGAATTCTGTTTTGGTTCCCATCATATCTTTAGCATTCTCCCAACACTATGTCTGGAACACAGAGGCATCCAACAATATTTGCATACAAATAGAAGTTTGACTATTAGGCATTTTCTCATCTCAATATATCACTTGAACATGATCAAAAGTAAAACAAAATAAAAGACAAAACCTAAACCGGGTTGGAGATATGGCTCAGCAGATAAGGGCGCTGGCTGCTGTTCCAGAGGACCCAGATTCAAGTCCCAGCACCCACATGGCGGCTAACAATTATCTGTGATTCCAGCTCAGGCCTCTGTGGGTTTTGCATAACACGGAGCACACTTACATACCTGCAGACAACATACTCATGCACATAAAATAAAAACAATAAATTTTTAAAAAGACAAAACCCAGATCACTAGTTACAGTAAGGAGATGGTAACCTCACATTTGTCTGAAGAACACGAAAAATCTGTTAAAGTGAGCGTGACTGTGCTGTCTCTGAATACACCCTCTAAACACCACCAAACACAGAGCCAGAGTCCTGTCCTAACTGTTGTAATGTAAATTTATCTGCATCTAAAACCATTTCCAAAGTATCTTGTGAATATTGGGGCATTTTGCTAGGAGGTGAAATAATTAGGAATGCATCCTTCATTAATGATCCTAAATGTTTAGTTTTAAAATTTAATTTCTTATCAAGATTTTCTTCATAAAAAGATGACTGTTTGCATTATTTGTCACCTGAATCTGGCACTGATTATTATGTGACTCACTTACATCATGATTAAAGGAGCATCTCATCTTACTCCTCTTTTTCAATCTGTTCATATCTGGATCAACAGGTTTCCAGGGGTATAAAAAGTGACCCCCAGACTCGTGTTTAAATAAAACATTTTAGAATGTTTAACTAATACTTTCTTAAGTCTTTTCTTCAAAACATTCAAGACAAATTCATTCCAAATACTTTCCCAGATTTCCCCAGATCTTTGGTAGATTTCTGCCTGGGTTCCTTTCACTTGTGAAGCTCTTCATACTCTTTCTCCTTTATCTCAAGGGGTCAACAACTGCTCTCCGTTTCTCTTTCTCAGTCTCTCATACAATTCTACTCTGTCATTTCAATATGATATCCTTCTTTTTAAAATAAGAAGTGCTTTTCTGCAATGTGCCAGGCAAAAACACTGAAATGTATAGAAATAATCTTACAGAATACAGTATAGGGAGGAATAGTGCATACTCTTTCTCCTTTATCTCAAGGGGTCAACAACTGCTCTCCGTTTCTCTTTCTCAGTCTCTCATACAATTCTACTCTGTCATTTCAATATGATATCCTTCTTTTTAAAATAAGAAGTGCTTTTCTGCAATGTGCCAGGCAAAAACACTGAAATGTATAGAAATAATCTTACAGAATACAGTATAGGGAGGAATAGTGATCTAGAGAAAGTTTTTTTTTTTTTTTTTTTTTTTTTTTTTTTTTTTTTTTATTATCTTTTACAGTATAGGGAAGGATAGTGATCTAGAGAAAGGTTTTTTTGTTTTTTTTTTTAACTATCAGTTACAGTTTTACAGAGCAAATTGAGTGCTTTCAAGTAGATGTTTAACAATTATTAGAAATATGTATATATTATTTAAAAGGGCTTTAATTTTGATACGACCCTAATCACTAGTTTTACATCATTAGAGTTTTGGTATTTGCACTTATAGGGTAAAAAGTAGTTGAACATGAACAATATATGTTCTATAATATGTACAACAATGATGCATCTGTTAAAAATAAAGGGTTGAAGAGATGGCTCAGGGTTTAAAAGCACTGGCTGCTCTCACAAAGGACCCAGGTTCGTTTCCCAGCACCCATATGGCAGCTAACAACTGTCCGTAACTCCAGTTCCAGGGGATCTGATGCTCTCTGTGGGCACTGTACAACACAGGTGAACTTAACATACATTCAGGCAATACACTCATACACATAAAAAAAAATAAGAAATTTTTTATGTTTAAAAATAAATAAAATTGTAAAGTGAGCAATTTCAAACACATGAGCCAAGGACTGAGGATATATCTCAGTGGGAGAATGTTCCTCAGCCTGTATGAGGCCTTGAGTTCAATCTCTAGTACCACAGAAAAAAACAAAACAAAAAAGACAACAAGAAGCTTAAAACACCCACAAAAACCATGATTCATCTAAATATAGGCAGGCTACTTCAGACACTGGTGTTTATGTTTGTGGGTAATTAAAGCGTAAATGATAGGGGCTAGGGTGGAGCTCATGGTAGTATGCGGTTAGTTTGTGCAAAGACATTGGTTGTGCAAGAACAACAATAAAAGTGATGAAGACAAAAGTAGAAATAACATGTGCTGGATATCACTTGTGTGATCAGGACTCTCTTCTGTTCTGCCTTTTCTCTTATAAATCCAAAGTGCTCTTACTTTGTAATTTGATTCTGCCTCAAGACACACAATTTGGCTTTGAAATGCATATGATTAAGAAGTTTGGTTCTGGAGCTGGAGAGATGGCTCAGGAGTTAAGAACACTGGTTGTTCTTGCAGAAGACCCAAGTTTGAACCCCAACACCCACATGGCAGCTAACAACTGTCCATAACTCCAGTTCCAGGGGATCCGACGGCCTCTTCTGACCTCCACAGGCATTGCACGACAAGGGTGCACTTATCTACATGCAGGCAGTACACTCATACAGATAAAATAAAAACAATAAATAAAATGTTTTTTAAAAAGTTTGATTCTAATGAGTAATACTTATCATTAATAAAAGAAGCAATTTTCACTAAATAGAGCCACAATAAACTAGATTTTTCCAAGATAAATCAAGAAAAAGAAATGAAAGCACTTCTTTATTTACACTTATTGTTCCATTTAAACCTAGACTATCATAGTTGGCCTAATAACATTCCTTTGAAAAAGACCCAAGTCTTAGGGAAAGCACCCTACTTTAAGAGAATAGTCTTAACTAAGGATAGGGTAATAAACCCAGGTGGCACAGTTAGAAACAGAGGGAATGTAATCATAGAAGACCCAGACTGGAGACATCTTAGGTACGTCCTGTCTTTAGTTTCCTCATTCATTACAAGATGAGCATCACTAATCCAAAATGCTACAAAATCTGAATTTCTTTTGAGCATCAATATAACACCACAAGTGAAAAATTCTATACCTGATTTAGCAGGCACAACACAGTTGTACTAAAAATACTATATAAAAGTGCCTTCAGGTTAGGTGAATAAGGGAAATGCAAATGTAAATGAGTTTACATATAGACTTTGTCCCATATTGATATCTTATTCTATTAGGTATATGTATTTCAAAAACGGAAGAAATCCAAAGTCTTAAACACTTCTGGTGTTGAGCATTAAAGACAAGAGATACGCTGCTGTATTCAGCAATAACCAAAGGAATATTTCAACTTAAATGGTCTAATTCTTGTGGGTAAAGTCATTCTCATGTATCTGGGACACTGAAAAAAATCTGTAAACTTAAGGAAGAAGATAGCACTATTAATAGAATCTTCTTGGAAAATAAAACTTTGGTGGCCTAGAGTAAGAAATGAGGATAAAGTATAACTATCATCAAGTATTAAAAAGTTGTAATAACAATGCAGGCTATTCAAACACTGATAGATCCTACTTACACAAGGAGTAAGATTAAGAACAGGCAGTATGAATCTTTGCAAAATAAAGCAAGGGGGTAAATGAGGAAATGATGGTAGGGGAACTGGCTTGGATGTGTGAGTTAGTACCTCCCATGGTTGAAAGGCTCTGGGGTTCTGGCAGTCTCGAGCTTGGCACAGATCCCGAATGGCATGACCAAGGGCAAACACTGCAAGCTGAATGCTGTGAATTAGTCCCGGCTCAGTATAATGCCAGAGGAAGTCATTTCTCATGAAGAAGTTCTTTTCAATGGCCTTGGTAGTGGCATAGGTCAAAGTCCCCTGAGAATAGTTGGAAATACATTGACTCAAATCACCATCTTTGACCTGTTCACAGGCAGAAAAAAGCATGGCAAATTCACGTAGGGGTTTGTTATTGTCACTGGGGTACAAATGCAGAGTTTGAAGAAAGGAGTGAAAAGAGGACATATTCCCTCTTCTAAAGGTAAACCCCACCACTTTGCCAATCTTCTTAACATTGGGAATGGTGATAATCTTGGTGGCCGTTGACCAATTATCACTAGCAATCCAGATCTTATTTATTTTCCTTTCAATAGCTTTATTGAAGAGATTGAAAACATGGAATTTCCTTAGAAATACCACAATGACGTTAACATGGGCTTCTGCAATGATTTTCTCCAGTGTCTGATTGATCCTGACTTCAATGCTATTATCTGAGAGAAAGGCTGGGAGAACCTCTTTGAAGGCTATACACACTTTGTTTGCGGCAGCCTGAACGGCAAAAGTGTTGAGTGCCAGCCGTCCATAGTCATCATCTGTCGTTATGACCCCAATCCAGTTCCATCCAGATTTCTGAATCAGGTGGGCCATTGCTTTAGTTTGATAGAAGTCACTGGGCACAGTCCGTAAAAATGAAGGAAAGCGTATTTTGTCACTTAGGATTTCTGCGGTTGATTCATAACTCACCTGGAAGTGGACAGAATATTTTAGTTGTGGTGGTGGAGTGCAGGTTGCTGTTCACAGTAGCTGCATCTCCCTTTGATTCCCATAACCTCCTTCTAAATTCTATGGTCCTTTCTACCTCAGTCTTGCTATGAATCCTCCTCTGCAAGCAGCTGAATTCATGTTAGAACCTGGTTCAGTTGTTTTCATCAAAACTGACTGATATTATTAAGGAAACAGTAGAGTTGAGTCCCTGAGAGGTATGTGACTTATTGTCCAAGTCAAGTTTAAAACTGTCAGAAATTAGATCTTGACTTTTATAAAAGGGGCTTCCTAACTGGTCCCTGCAGGTTTCCTTGATTCTTTCATATGATAAATGTGATCAAAACCAATGTATAGAAATAGAGCAAAGCTTACCTGTGGCATGAGTTGTAAGTTCAGCATCCGCGAGACAGCTATGGATATTTCAGAGTAGCCAGCACCTATGATGGCCTTAACCCTTGGCATGTAACTGGAATAGTCACACTGAAATGCCACAGTTTCTCTAGAGTAGTTGAATTTAGAAAGGAACCTCAGAGTGGCTGCCATTGCCGCTGTGACTTCTGTGCAAGTGTCATAGATTTCATACCCCAGTTTGACTCCAGGCACCAGTGTGGAGTTATTGACCATCTCGATGCTGTGTATCATGGCAAGGGCTTGAAGAAATGCTGATATTTCAAAGCTGTTGAGAAACAAGCATTTTCTGAAATAACAGCCTAACTGCTCTATAAATACAGCAAAAGCTCATTTTAGCCACATCTCACCCTTTGGTAGATAAGTTTTGGTAAGTCAAACTTACTTCTTAAAAAGTATGTACTTTATTTGAAAATGTTTTTTCCTTCCTCCCCACAAAATAGTTTTAATTGAATATCTTTTATTTATTTGACAATTTCATACATGTGAGCAATGTATGTTTGTCATATCCTTTCCCAACACCCTCTCCAACTCTCCCCATGAAAATAATTTTAATGCAAACCTTTAAAAAGGATAATGTTAGAAACCACAGTTCCTTAAATAGAGTCTGAAGCATAGTATTTAACTTTTTCTTGATGAATTTTAGGATAAATTTGAATATTCAGCTTAATATTCCATAACATAAGAGCCAGAGGAAGGATGGAGTGTTAACTGGGGGTGTCCTCCGACCACTATGTTGGCAAGCTACAGTCACACCTTTTCCCCACACTCATCAAGGAGTCGAGGGGGAGTCAGTTCCCCCTCCCACCCAGTCAGTCGACCTTAGCTGCACGTGGGGGAGGGGCTAAGGATATATAAGCCAAGAATGCCAGGAGGCACCTCTCTGTTGGGAAGTTACAGGATCTATATTTGAGTGTGGACTTTCCAGTGCATCTGTAAATGAGGGGCACCCACTTTTCTGTAAATAAACCCCCACCCTATACTCTGTTAACAAGCCCAACAAACTAGTTAGGATTAAAAAAAGAAAAAAAAGAATTACTGGGTAAAAGCCCAGTAGCCTTCTGGACAAGGTTGACTAGTTTAAATCAAATACACAACTACTTGCACAGCATAGATGCCAGAGAACATTTCTAAGCCCTCAATAATTTAATCCTGATTCACTGTTATTTCATCCATTGCCATAGACAAGTACCATAAATAGTACCCATTATATAATAAAAATTCAATGGATGCTTTTTAAGTGAAGAAAGGGAGATTTGGGGGTTTTGGTTCTCAAGTTTCCTTATGGTTCATTAAGTATTTGAAAATCACTATGTGTAATTGTGGAATGTCTATACATGAAGTTTGGAAAAATCAGTATTATAATTTTTATTAAAAAGAAATGAGAGGAAACATAACAGATTATCTCATAATTAAATTGTATCATATTTTCATAGTCTCTTACATGGGAACTCCATTACTTCGGGGTTCCCAGTGCCCAGAATAGAAACTAGGTGATGCAGGCACTTAATAAGTACAGGCTCAATGTTGAAGGAAGAGTGTTTCTCTTAATGAGTCACTTTAAAGTGAAAGATCTAATGTTTTGTGATTTTTTTTCTCCCTAGATAAAATTTATTAGAACAAATAATTCATTTATATTTACCATCAATTATAAGATTACAATTATGGGTTTCAAATCTGTAGTCATTCTTTGGGTATCACTATATTATGCCATTTCTGCTAATGAATAGTTACAGTGATAGTAGTTTCAATGGGGAGGAAGGTAAGGAAGGAATCACAGCTTATCTGAAAACATTCTTAGAGAGTTTGGAGAGAACTATTTGATAAAGAAAGCAAGAGATTGGATGAGGTGATACACTTCTGAAATCTTAGCATTCTGGAGGTCAGTGCAAAAGGATCACAAGTGTGAGGTTAGTCGGGGGTACGTCAGGAGACCCTATCTTAAAATCAACCAACTAACCAACCAACCAACCAACCAACCAAAAAACAAAGTCAGATAAAATAGAAGTTTAAATTTATACCAATCTATAACAAAAATTATAGGAGTTACAAGGAAACTTGGGGGGGGGGCCTCACATTGTCATAGCAACTGAAGCTGATACTGCCTGAGTCCCTAAAGACTATTTGGGTTCCCTTTTTTAAAGATGGAAACTGGAAATCAACTCTTCAAAGTTAGTGTGTCCTGAAACTGAAATTTTAACTAAAACTTCCTGTTTTCTTTTTGAAGAACACAATCCATTGTAACCCCCGTCACACCAAGTTTTATTTTTTCACATGACACTGTGCCGAAGGTTTTTCCTATAGTGAACCTTCTTTTTGAAATTCGGTCACTAGCAAAGAAAGAATGAGCATTTGGACCTCAGGAGGCTCTTGCCTTATTATCAAAGGATTAGATTATTCTATAATGAAATGGATACAGTACTGACAAAATGTGAGCATGAAAACATCAGATACAGACTTTTAAATAAAATATTAAGCAGATTGTATTTTAATAAAGTGTGTGCTTTATTATATGCTTATAATAACAAAGTGTGTGCAGTGGGTGACAGAAATATGAATGTACTATGGTTGCTTGAGATGAAGGACTGGCTACGGTGTCCTTACAAGTGATTTCAGAGATTTTTATTTAAAGCACAATTCCCCCACCCTCCCCAAAATTAATGTAACGTTTTCCTTACCCCTGTATTTGGAATTTGTTTCATTACATATATGTGACTGATAAATATCTTTTAAGGACTGTAAGACTAACCAAAAGCAACTTCAAAATAGATACATGTTCAAATTTTAGTAAAATAACTTACATGTTTACACAAGTAAACGATCAGCATGTTTTATACTCACAACACCATGTTGAAATCTAAATGTATTTTTTGAGGTTTTACTCACCCAACACATTTCTGGATTTGTGGCCGTCTGGGTTGGTCTTCTGAGGACAACATTTTTTCATGAATAGCAAACAAACCTCCAATCATGATATGCCCAGGGGAAGTGATAGCCACAAAGTCATCAGGGGTGTTGCAAGGCTGGGAGGTCTCAAAAATAATCATAATGCAAGTTATTACTATAATTAATAGTGCCATGTTTCCCTACCACTTACTCAGCTCATGAGAGTATTGGGAACCATTAAGCTCACAAAGTGAGTGCCAACAAGATTCCCATTTCAGCCGTAAACACTGTGGAAGGTACCAAGGACAAGAAATGTTCAGTGTTCAGATACTTGATGATAGTAAAAACAGTTCTTTCACCAATAAGAACATGTCAGACTCTAACAGTCTCCAGAGCTGAGACACGTGACAGCAGACATGATCACCAGGGATAAGCTGATAGAATTATAAACACAGGAGCATGCATACAATAAAAACAACTCTTTTGGTTATTGTTTTCTCTTACTCTAAAGCTATGCCAAAGGCTTTGAGTCCTGTTGACATTTCTTTTGAAGCAGGTTGTATAGAACCTTCTGGAATGAGCAGGTTGGGAAAAATCCTTTCACTTTATTTCTCATTGATGATTTTTTTTTTTCTAAGCAGAAAGTGCTGCTCAGGTGTAAGACTTCAAATCTTAGTCTCCAATACTGTTGTGCCCACCTGCAGCTAAGGGAGATAGCCCACTATTGTTCTAAAATGATGACCAAATTTTTTTTCTCCCTCTATCTAGAAGCCTTTTCCAGGGAACTGACACTGATTCTAGCCACTCCAACAGCTATCAAAGTGCCTGAAAACAAATCCTGCCTTGGCAGACAAAGAAAAGTGAGGAGGAACCAAATAGAGGGATACTTTTGTAAGTCTCGTCAAGAAATCTCAATGGACTCTCATATGAACATTTGAAATTTGCCCTGTTCTGATTTTTTTTTTTCTGGTTCCCGGTCTAGAACTTGTAATGCTAACTACTCTTGCCTTTACTTCTCCTTCGTATCCTCTATTCACCAGCCAAGGACTTTCTTTTCTCCCTACAGATAAAAGTTATGCAATTTGGGAGTCTTTTAGATAGGCCTACTTAAGGGGGACCCCAATTGCCTCATCCTGGGTCCCTGTTCAGCATGGAAGAAGCCAGAGCAGTCTGCGTCCAGATTCTCCATGGGCAATTTGGATAACATTTTCAGAGGATGGTGTGATAAGAAAGAATAGGAGGTAGGAATTGGCTAGGTAGTTAGGGTTAAAAAAGACCCCAAAGAAAAGTAGCTAGTTTTTTGGCTAAAAGTCAAAATGTCCTTGGGCCTCTTAGCAACATACTCTGTTCCAAAGGCCAAAAATGTCAAAAGTATTTAGGAGCTCTTATCTAATCCCTAAAAGATTTAGAATGGCAAAAAACCCCATTAAAGAGAAAGAAAGAAAGCGTACACGAAGTTTTCAGAAAAAAGTGATGGGGAGATACGGGAGGTGTTGGAGGGGAGGGAGTGGACGCGGATTTGATCAAAACACCTCATATGCATATATGAAATTCTCACTAAAGTTTTTTTAAAAGTTAAAAAACTAGACATTCACATTTCTAAACATAGCACTTTAAATGCACAAAGGATCCAATGTAGTTTATCAGCCATTTAGAAAGAATAAAAATCCTGTTTTTTTAAAAAATATTTTATTATTTTTATTTTACGTGTATGAGTGTATTGCCTGCATGTAGGTGAGTGTACCCGTGTTGTGCAATGCCACCGAGGTCAGAAAAAGGCTTTGGGTTCCCCTGGAACTGGAGTTAAGGACAGTTTGTAGCCGCCATGTGGGTGCTGGGAATTGAACCCGAGTCCTCTGCAAGAGCAGTCAGTGCTCTTAACCGCTGAGCCATCTCTCCAGCCCCAAATATTTCTCCTTTCTTAAAATCCTTACTTGCAAATATGAAATTCAGTTGATGGTTTTTTTTTTTAATCATGTCCACTTTACATGTACTAAAGATAGTTTTTGTTCTGCTGGACAGAAAGAAAAGATGAAGCTTGTCAGAGAGGTTTGCTTTGAGCAAGAAAGGTCTGTCATAAATCACTGCCATTTACATCACTGTACTATTTAATTAAATATTTTAATAAACTTTGAACTAACGTAGGCTAATGTTTTTAAATGCATATACAATGGGACTAGCATAATTTAGTAGGTATCTTTATAAAAGAAGGTTTATTTATTTTATTATATGAGTGCTTTGTCTGTATGAATGTATGTGCATCATGTGCATGCCTGGTATATTCAGAGGCCAAAAAAGGATGGAAGCTGCAAGAGACTGTCAAATCCTCTGGATCTAAAGTGACAGATGGTTGTGATCTGCCATGTGGGTGCCATAAGTGGACTCTGGATCTTCTGTAAGAGCATCAAGTGTTCTTAACTGCTGAGCCATCTCTCCTGCTCCAACAAGCATTTTTTGGAATTTAGTGGAGTCTAGAAAACCTCAGAAATTTAGGTGCCATTGAGAACAAGCTTAAAATTTCATTTATAAAAACCAATCTTTTAAAAATACTTGCTTTAGGTCCAGGAAGATGCCTTAGCAGGTAAAGCACTTGCTGTGCAAGCCTGATAACCTGACATACATTTGCCAAACATCATGTACACAAACATGATGATGATGACAATGGAAAACGGTTTCAAGTCTAGAATATCTGCCTTGTTGGGAAGGTAGCAGATACATAGCTAAAGGAACAGAATGTAGTGATATAAAGGGTGGAGGAAGTGGAATAATAGAGTAGGAACGATTAAACGGGGTGCAGAATGGAAGGGCAGGGCAGAACAGAAGAGGGAGTCTGTGGAGAGATCCCTAACACTAAAGGTCTTGAAAAGCAGTCATATGGAAACCTACCACTATAGAAGCTTCTTAAAGTGTATACATATACAATATAAAAAGATTAAAAAGAATTACAATATAACAGAGGGACATTGCCCTTACTAGACACCATAGGCTAGCAAAAAAGGCCCACTGCTAGTAATGGACTACCTTTTGTGAAGCTGTTGGCCAAGGGTTGCATAGTCCCTCAAACAATACTGGCCATTGACCCTGTTCTTGCTTACCCATCATAACTTCGTGGTAAGACCCTATTGCTGAAGATACCATATACACAAGTTGTAGAATCAACAAGGAGAAATCAAGCTGGCACTGACCTCAAAGCTTCATTTTCACTGGCTCCATAGTGCTGGAAGGTGTTTTGCATACTATCAGAAGAGAAAATTATTCATCAGCCTTGCCAAGCTGTGACTCCTGTAAGCTACAATACAACTGGCCTGGCAAGGTATGCCCATTGGTGCAGCAGTGGTATTTATGCTATAGTAGTAACCAACTACCATCTGCTTGGATTTAAGGTCCACTTTACAAGATGGAGCCCATACTTGACACTGATATCAGACCTAGGAACCTGTGGTCAGACAGGTCACACACAGATCATAAGGAAGTGTTGGGGAACCCTGCTGTTAAGGTTGGCTCCTTTCTCAGCAGGAGCTTCCTGCCTGACTTACCTGGAAGGTGCTGCCAAGCACGGATGCTTGGCCTCATTTAAAACATGACCTTTGGCATAGTTACCTGGAGTAAAAACTACCCCCAGGTCTTTTCTATATGATAATTAGGCATTGCCTGGTAGTCAGATGATAGGAGCCTACTGCCACATGTAAATAAAGCATACTGTGAGCACCTATCAGCTGAAGCATTGGCTACTGCCTCCACACTATATTTTCCCTAATCTCCACTGAATAAACGGAGCTGTTTCACTGAGTCTGGAGCTGTTTGTATCACTGAACCTGCCTCCCCAGAAGGGCTTTCTTCCATCAGTGCTCACTGGGCGTCCTGCTCCCTTTGTCCTTGTGGACCAGTGGCCAACAACCCACGAGGGGAGGGAGAGACCCCACAGGGAAGAGCATACTACTATTATTATGCCAAATGAACATAGTATTCAACTGACTACTAGTGGTTTATTGTTATATCCCTAGATCACTGCATCTCTCAGCTATCACCAGAGTAGCTATCTCATGCAATGGATGATTAACACAGAGACCCACAACTGACCAGTGTGCAGAGAATAAGAGACTGCAGAGTGCTTATCTCTAAGTAGTAAACCTGTATCAAACGGCTGCCTCTGAAGGGAGCACTACAGAAGAGGGGACAGTAAGATTATAAGAGCCAAAGGCAGTGGATGACCACAAGGAAACAGTTTCCCAGACAGCTGGTCAGTTACTTGTATGAACTCACAGCAATGGTGAGAGCATGCATAAGTCCATGCAAGCTCAAACCAGAAAAAAAATCCTAGCCTAAACATGAGGAACTGGGTAAGAAACCCCAACCAAATCTAAGGAAATTGTGCAACCAATGACTGCTGGGAGAGGGAGAGTCAATTTTCTTTAAGGATGTGCTGCTGGGTTGGTTAACCAGGCTTCAGTGAATGAATCCATGTAGAAGGACATTTGAGGACACAAAATTGACTCAATAAGCTTTATATATACATGCATATGTATTCATATATGTACATGTATATATGTACATGAAATTGCATGTGGTTATTAAGGGGGAGGGGCAGATAGGGAAGGGGATTTAAATATGATCAAAACATATTATATGAAATTCATCAAAATTCAATTAAAAACAGAAAAATTGATGTTGAAGCTACCTACTATAGCATTTTTAATTATCCAGATTAGTCTTAGATTCATAGCTCTATGAAGTTTGGTGACTGGAGTGAAGTTACAGCTCATTATGAGGCATCAGAGCTTTTCTTTTTAAATTAGTGCATGTTAATTGTACAAATATTGAGTTTCATTATGAAATTTTTTACATGCATATCATGCTCTTTGATCATAATCATTTCCATTATCCAAACATTCTACCAAATGTTTTCCTACACCTTTACACTTTTCTAATGATACAATTTCCTAGAAGGCTGCAAACCAGTAACTTCAGTTGTCTATTAATCTTAATAAATGCAATTTGTAGACTTTTGAAACATTTAACCATCGTGCTTTACTCAGCTGTCTTATTAATTTGCTAGATGTGTGTGTGGAACCTAATGAATTTGTGGTTTTATGACTTTAGTCGTTTTGCTCGGGTAACCTCAAAATTCTCACAAAATCATAAGTTCAAAGATGATTTTGATAAAACTGTACTAAAAAAGAGAAAACTCATGTATAATTTCTTGGCAAAGCTATAAACGGGTATTAAACTACTTGGAA